TTGCCTGATGTGGGGGCTGGGGATGCTCGTGGGAGACCTCCGTAAAGGATGCGGTTGGGAACTTTTCGCCTCAACAAAACACACATTAAAATAAACAATAACTAGTATAATTATGACAATAATAATAGTAGTAATAATAGTAATAATAATAGTAATAATAATAGCAATAACAATAAACATGCCTCCATACGAGCAAGAAGGTTCAGGGCCGAGTTAACAACCTCGCGAATCTCAGCTCTGCGGCCATGATCCACAGCTTGCCCAGGTTCCTCGATGGAACCGATCGGAGCGGAAAGTGGAAAAAACGGTTTTTGGGTTGGCCGGTTTTTTTGGTTTGCCGGTGTTTGCTTTTTGCTGGTTTCTTCAAAGTGAAAACAAAAGTCGAACCCAAAGACCAGGAAAACAAACACCAAGGCTGGTTGCTCGTATCACTCATGAAAGGCACTCAAATGGAAGCTGCAGAATGCCTGCTTCAGACTGTCTCCAGCACGGACAGCAGCTGCTTTCCCCAAATCGCACCAAGCAGGTACTTGTTGGGTCCCTTGGAAGTTACAGGCACTCGCCCATGCATTTTGTCCCAAGAGCCACATCCTGTTGGGTCACCCTTGTCACCTTCTTTGGTTCCATCCTAGGCGGAAACTGGCAAAAGTGACGCCTCCAAGAAGGCCGTTCGCGTGTCGCTTCAGCGACCCTGGCGGGCACTTGCAATGGCTTCTTTGGGCCACGATTGTTACTAACTACTTGCCTGACGTACTGGATCGATTGCCCGAAGTTTCAAATGCAAGCTCCAACTTGGGTTTTGGGAATGAACCATTTCGGGATTCCCTGCCATCATAAACCTTCCAACCTTCACATGGCCGCAAATTTCCTCCATATCATTCTTCAACTTCTGGGGATGGTTCGGTCAGTTTTCCTCGGTCCTTCGCCTTTCGAGCCGTGGTGCAGGCGCCCACCGCGGAGCCAGCGCCAGAGGTAGAAACTCAGCCAGACGCCTCCGAACTCAGCAGGCCGCGCGGGGGAACCGCAAGGCCAGAAGGAAACGAAAAGGAAAATGAGCTGTGGACTTGTTGCAAGGGAATCCAAACTGAAACAGGAAAAGCTGGAGAAGGCTGCCCAGTTCCAGTGTTCAGGTAAGGCCACAACATCGTAGTTCAAGCCTTGTAGTCGTAAACATACAAAGGTGCGTCAAGAAGCCTTATGATCGTATACATGTTCCATGGGTTATGGGAGCCCTTGAGTAACAGGTGAAATTCGCTCGACGACCCAAAGCGCTAGGAATCGCATCTCCCAGTGAAGAAAAGGCCGAACAAACGCCGAGAGAGTGCATCGGTAAAAAACGGCAAGGAAGAAACCCAAGGCAAAAGCAACCTCAATATGTCCACCAAAAAGTCAAGACCGACAAGGCAAAAAGGGGGCAAATGAAACTCCTTCGGCAAACAATGAGTTCTCTCACCCACACCATGGTTCTATTACCTCAACTAGGGTTCTAATCAAGTCTTAACAAGCCCACGGGTGTTTCAACATTGGCGTGTGTTAACCCAACCGTTGTTCCAACGGCTTGAGCCGGGTTTCTGGCTGGTTTTCCGACCAAGAGGCCTGGTACCAGCACGTGGAGCGCACGCAGAGGGCCCAGCAGCACCGCCGGCAGCTGGAAGAGCCTGAGTTTCACTTCAAAACCAACCGAGTTCTGAGGACTTTCTAAGGATGTACTTGCAACCATGGGGGGCTGACCAGGTTGCTAACCAAGGCTAGTAAGTTAGATAATCTACCAACATCCAGCGACCAGGAGGTTAGTGGCTGCCAGTTCCCGATTGCCACGAGCATGAGAGTGCAACAAAAAACACGCATCATTGGGTTGCTCACCTGGATTACTAATTTGTCATCTAACACGACTGGTCATGTCAGTTTCTAAGGGTTGTCTATTGCCCAAGTCCATCCACTCAGAAGGTGCATAACTTGCATGAGCACCCTGGCTAGCAAGTTGTGAATAGCAAACAAACGGAGGCCGCTTCTCAAATCCAAACGGAATCACTCCCAAGCAGAAGGGAAACAAGGAAAGAATCCACTGGGCAACATGCCAATCTTTGACCCAAAAGTTCAAACCTGGGTGAACTATAGTATAACTCACTGGACACGATCTTATCAAAATTGCGCAGCAACCAACAGGCGATGGTCACAAACGAGGTCCAAGTTGACTGGGCCTCTTTCTCATGAGATATTTCTCAGGTTGCTGGAGACACCTTCACTGGAAGACCCGTGCCCTAAGGATTTAAGGCCGGGTCCGGCACTTGTGAGCTTTGTAGCCATCGGTGTTGGGGATGTTGGCGGCGTCAAGTGATGCTGGTAATGCCGGTGATGATGCAGTGATGATGATCTGTGGCACCTGTGTAGGGTTGGTGTTGTGCATGAATATGTTTGTCAGCATCGCCTGCATTGCCAGAATTCCTACATCACCAGTCTGGCAGCATCGCCAGCATTTGTGGCATCACCAGCATCGCTTGTTTCATAGGAGTGTCTGAACATCTCCCAACATCCGAGAAGCATCTTGAAACGGCTAAGTGTTTCCAGAGAGTTGTGCTTGTGCAATCAGGTGTTTGTCGGCTGGGCTTATAGCAGATGCGACAAAATGGTTCTAGGATTTGTTGGGAGGCAAATGTTGAGGCACCCCCAAGAAACAAAACAAACAATGAAGCAAGCAATGCAGGCAATGCTGCCAACGATGCTGGTGGCAATTCAGGCGATGCTGGCAAACGTACTGGCGATGCATGCGTGCGAGACACACGTGCCAAAGCGTCACCATCATCACGTGTGTCTTGCGTCACGCCGCCATGACGTGCCGCAACACGATTCCACCCGGCAACTAAAGTCGGGATCCTTAAGGTACGGGCACACCAGCTTCTCAAGTTCATTAACCTGAGAAATCATGAGCAAGAGGTCCAGTCAACTTGTGACTATGGGGTTCCGGCTCCTTTTCGGGAGATGATTTCAGGAGTTGTTGGGTGGGCTAATTCGTGCGTTCAGCGGTCTCAAGATGTGACAATATGGTTCTGTTGGAAGGCAGATGTTCCTCGATTGGCGATGCTGCAACTGCTGGCGATGCTGGTGGACTTATACTGTGGGAATGCAGGCAATCCTGGCGATGCTGGTAGACTTATAATGAGGAAGTATTTGCAATGTATGCGATGCTGGAGATGCTGGTAGACTGGGTTTGTAGGAATGTATGCAATGCAGGCGATGCTGACAAACTAGTCTTGCTTGCGATTCGTGATGCCAAGAAACCCCCTGCACTGTCACCAGCATCACCAGCATCACGTGTGTCGCAGTATGGCCGCAAGGTGCCGCCACATGATTCCACCAAGCAACTCAACACAACCTCCAGCTGCTAGTTTTCGCACACCAGCAAACCCCAACCCAGCCTTGAACACAAACATTTTTGAGGATCTGGCCAAACTCGGGATCCTTAAGGTCCGGGACTTCCAGTGAAGGTGGTGTATTTGCACACCAGCTTCTCAAGTTACCTGAGAAATGTGCCATGAGCAAGAGGTGCAGTCAACTTGGAACTCGTTTGTGAGCTCCAGCTCTTTTTCTCTTTTTCAGATGATTTCAGGAGTTGTTGGGTGGGCTAATTCGTGTGTTTAGCGGTCAAGATGTGACGAATATGCTTCAAGGATGTGTTGGAAAGCAGCTGTTCTTCTGACACCGCTAAGAAACAACATGGCAATGAGGCAAGCGATGCCAGCTAATGCTGGCGATTGACCATGATGCCAATGCTGGCGTTGCTGGCGATGCTGGTGGATTTACAATGCGGGAATGTAGGCAATGCTGGCAATGCTGGCGATGCTGGAGATGCTGGTGGACTGGTGATGTGGGAATGTAGGCAGTATTGCTGGCGATTTGTGATGCCACAACGGGCAGCAGTGCGATCGCACAACCCACGTGCCACTCGCCAGCATCCCTAATTCACATCGGCGCCGACAAACACTCCTGAAAAAGAGCTCCATGAAGAACAACTTATTGCAACCAACCACCTGAAATCAAAGTTTCGAGGTGCTGTAGAGGCGGCGTGTCAAACTGTCTGTTTCCTAAGTCCATCCACTCAGGAGGTGCCTACTTGCATGAGCACCCTGGCTAGCAAGTTGTGAATAGCACACAAGCGGAGGCCGCTAATTCAAATCCAAACGGAATTACACCCAAGCAAAAAGGAAACAAGGAAAGAATCCAAACCTGGGTGTACTATGGTATAACTCACTGGACTCTTCTTATGGAAATTACACAGCAACCAACAGGCCATGTTCACAAACGAGGTCCAAGTTGACTGGGACTCTTTCTGAACTTGAGACACCTTCACTGGAAAACGTGCCCTAAAGATTTATGTCCGGGTCGGTTGTGATGAGTTTCTGGTTGGGGTGCGGCACTTGTGAGCTTGTAGCCCTCGGTGTTGGAGATGTTGGCGGCGTGTGATGCTGGTAATGCCAGCAATCGCATATGTAGCGCAGGTGTTGTGCGATTGCGGTGCCCCTGGGAATGTGCTTGCCAGCATCGCCTGCATTGCCAGCATCACCCGTCTGGCAGCATCGCCGGCAATTGTAGCATCACCAGCATTGTTTGCCTCATTGTTAATTCTGTTTCATAGGAGTGTCGGCTGCCTCCCAGCATCCGAGAAGCATCTTTTCACATCTTGAAACCGCTCAGGAGAGATGCCGATCATGGTGCCACTCTGGCGCGTGTGTAGCGCTGGGGTTGTGCAATCGCACTGCCCCTCGTGGCATCACGAATCGCCAGCAATGCTAATTGGTCAGCATCGCTTGCATTGCCTGCATTCCTACATTACCAGTCTACCAGCATCTCCAGCATCGCCTGCATTGTCTACATTCCCACATTACCAGTCTATCAGCATCTCCAGCACCGCCAGCATTGCCTACATTCCCACATTATAAGTCCACCAGCATCACCAGCGACGCCAGCATTGGCAGCATCGCCAGTCACTAGCATTGCTGGCATCGCTTGCCGTATTGTCGTTTGTTTTTTGGCGTCAGAGAACATCTGCCTTCCAACTCGAAAATGTGGAATCGTGTTGGGGCACGTCATGATATGCAGCCACACAGCCGTACTGCCGATAGCCAGAAGCATAGGAGGTGATTCAGCATCCCTGTGCTTCCCCTTTAGGTCATCTTAGATAGGCAGGTAAACCCTTCAGCAATTGCCGGCTGCCGATGTTAGGGATGCTGGCGGCGATGCCGCTGATGGTGCCACTCTGGCCGTGGGTTGCGCTTGGATTGTGCGATCTCACCGCCCCTTGTGGCATCACGAAGCGCCAGCAACACTAGTTTGCCAGCATCGCATGCATTGCCTGCATTCCTACATTACCAGTCTACCAGCATCTGCAGCATCGCGTGCATTGCAAACATTCCCTCATTGTAAGTCTACCAGCATCTCCAGCATCGCCAGCATTGCCTGCATTCCCACATTATAAGTCCACCAGCATTCCTTATTGGCAGATCGCCAGTCACCAGCATTGCTGGCATCGCTTGCCTCATAGAAGAACATCTGCCTTCCAACAGATCATCGAAACATATTGTCACATCTTGAGACCGCTGAAATCATCTCCTGAAAAAGAGCTAGAACCCCATAGTCACAAGTTGAGAGAAGCAGCTGGTGTGCAACCACAACACCTTCACTGGAAGTCCCTGGCGGCGTGCGCGACGCAAGACACACGTGATGCTGGTGATGCTGGTGATGCCGGCTCTGGCATGGCACGTGCGTGTTGTCCTTGCCACCAGCATCGTCGGCAGCATTGCCTGCATCGCTTGCCTCATTGTTTGTTTTGTTTCTTGGGGGTGTCTCAACATCTGCCTCCCAACAAATCCCAGAAACATCTTGCCTCATCTGGAGGCAGCTAAAAACACGAATTAGCCGACAATCACCAGCATATCTCTGCTGAAAACGAGTTGGAGCCCCATAGACCATGGAAACATCTCTTCAAATGAGCAAAGGGAAGAGGGACCCCTACCTGCCATGCTTCTTCACTGCCAAAGCCTTGGGCTAGCTCGAGGCACGAGACTAGAGAATCAGGAGGAAACCATCAGAAAAAGTTCGAGGTGGCGGCTTGGAAGTGACTGTCAAATGGGTCAATTCAAATGGTTTGCTTCGTTGACCCACTTAGCAACAGGGACCCCCTCAAACATGTCCGGGGCTTCAGGCTGTCAGCAAGCCTCCGCAAGCCAATAACTCGTTCGTCCTCCAACAAGCCAGCCTACCAAACCAATTTACGCCTCCTCCAAACAATCATCAATCTTTCAACTACATTCCCTGCAGCTCTTGGTTGGGGACATACCCTTTTCGGGTTTTGTCTAAAGACCAAAGCGCTTGGGGGACTTCTATGTGTGAGTTTGTTTTTGAGGGTTCCCTCTCTGTGTGTTCTTCGCTTTCACGCGCAGTCGGCTCAACGGCCGGTCCGGTGGATCGATCCGGCGACGCCGAGCTTCTTCTCGTCCTCCCCGCCGAACCACGCGAAGTCCGGGAAGTCCCCGGCGTGCCACTGCAGCAGCGGCAGGCCCGCGCCTGCGAGGGGAGCCTTCGGTAGGCCATGAGGTTTAGCCCATGGCTACCCAAAAATGGCTAGGGTGTAAAGAAAAGGGATTTTAATATGAGGGTTGCAATGTAAGGGTTGGCCATGGGTATTAAGAGATGCCGATCCGTGGGTTTTAAACTAAACCGGAGGGTTCTTCAATGAGAGCCAGAGCCATGGGTGGCCTGGGGCAATTTTTGGCCTTGGGGCGGAATACTTCGACTGAGGGGGGAACATATTAGTAAGTATTCAGTCTGTATTGCGAACCCATGGGTTTTGTCCAGGTTAAGCCATTTGAAGAGAACCAATGGGATGGACAAAAACCAGAAACACGGGTTGGATGAAACCCTGCGAATTCTGGGAGAAGCCACCAAATATAGTTCTACTGGAGGGAGTAAGCTTTGTCTCAATGACAGAAGACACCCTCGTGCGCCACGCGCCAGAGGGAGGGTGGGGGCTCGGGGATCCACTTTGAGAACATGCACCCGCTTGTGTTGAGGTGGAGGCTTACACGACCCTTGGTGGCTTGTTGGTTGCGTTGGAAATATCAGTATGAGCCATCTTCTATAGCCCTCAGTGGAAGTTTGGCCAGTCCTGCAAACGAGCGCCTGTGTTTCTACCGAATTCCATTCTTGTCGATTTTTACACACACCCAAAACGGGGCTGCCTAGAATCAAAGGCGCGAGCGCTGCGTTCACCGAGCGGCTGTCTTTCGTGGAGGGACCCCCAAGTGGTTTTCCTTTGAAACCACAAAAGGGCTCCAACTCAAACAACCACACCCCTTGACAAACCAGACAGTATGCGTCAGAATGGGAAGATGTTCTCTTGGTTTCCCTGAAGACTCCTTCGCAAAGGGGTCCCCGCTGACCGCCTGCGAGGCAGGTCCAGTAGTCCAGCTGGTGCTCCTTCGGGTCTCGCTCCCCTTGCCGCGCCTCTCGCGCGTGACCCGTGGGAAAAGGGAACCCGATGCTGATCTTTCGGGTCCCAAACCCACTCCACGAAAGGGGAAGAGGCTAGCATGCACCCAGCAACCAGTTTGGGCAGTGAGAACCTCAGAAGACTTCGTGAACCAACCATTGGGCCTCGCTCAAGCTATCGTTGGATCTGGCGATTCCCCTTTGAAAACGGGATTCACCCAGTTGCTTCGAACACGCTACAAAGTTACCTCATTTGGGGGGCAATCCTTTGCAAATGCCCACAAAGCAATGTGTACAACCCAGCAAATGTCGCCAAAGCCGCGGGTTATAAGCAGGGTAAATCTCACCAGTCTCCTGAGGTACCCTGTCGCCAGTTGTGATGCAGATTGCTGGGAAGATATTAAGGGATGCTCATATGAAAGGATGCCAGGAGATTGTTAGCAAGAAAACAAATCCAGCCGCCGATGTGCCTTGATTCAGAGGGAAGCCCATTTTCGGCGGAAAATCAAAAGGACAACATGTTTTCCTGCGGGGGGTCCAACATTTTGAGATAAACACGAGCCGTGTAAAATGTAAAAGATGTGGCGAACTGCACCTTTCTTGAAGCAGTTGGCACCATCGCAGGGCCTGCTGAAAAAAGGAAAGCAATGCAAAGAAGAAGCATCCCCGCACATCCCGTGCATGCCGCGCCGCTTTTGAGCTGACGACTCACCAAAGCTGGAATCTGACAATCAAAACCTGGAATGCAAGTCTGCTCACACGGATGGCAACAAATTAGCACCAACAACCGAGTATTCCTTATTCAGTTTCAGCTTTCCAGGTGTTGATTGTGGCCCGCATGCACTGCACACAGTTTCCAGGTTCCGAGAGCCTGGAAACCACGACTGACCCACCTGGTCCCGTGACACCTAGGCGTGACAGGCGTGTCCTTTTGGGGAAGCGCTGAACCAGCGCTCAGTCGAAGAGGGCCATGAGGCGATTCGTGGTGAGACTCTCGTCCTCCGCCGAGTACTCCGGCTCGGGCGGCGGCATGCCGCCGAGCTCCGCCATGTCCTCGTCGATCTCTGGCTCATGGGCCTGGCGGCTGTTTCGCGTCGGATTTTTGCGAAACCGGGTTTGCCGTTGGACAACTGCCCCCAAAACGGGGTGTCTGGGAGTTCGTGGAACTGGTTTCGGAAGCTACCAATTACTAGCCAAATTTGGGTGCCCTCTGCCAGAAAAGGAAAAAAGGGTTTTCAGGTTGGTTTCCCCCTCAAACAGCCCCAAAGGGGTTTCCACCCATTTCATGGGGCGGCTTCGGTTGGGGTATATCTTTTGCAAAATTCCGCGTTGTGCTCCTGCACGAAGAGGCACTCAATTAGCTGTGTTCCCCTCAAAATATACATGGTATGCTCTATCAGGTCAAACTTGCCAAAGGTCTCACCCACCCACCTCTAGGCAAAGGACTCTAGGAATTCCGACCTTCACCCGCACAAGTCTCCAAGGGTTCTTCTTCTCTCGGAAAACCACCCAATCTGGTCCAACATCAGAAAATAATAAGTACTTCTCAGGGTGTATCTCCAGGGTGTATCTCCAGGGTGTATGTGGGTGGAACCCCTCAGTTTATGCGTCTTGACGCCGCCAAGCATGGCAACACATACAGGGGTGTCTTTTTGAGGGCACCCCTTTTTTGTGGAATTAAAGGGAAAGCAAAGGAACAAACCCATGTGTGTATATATACATATATATATATATATATACATATTTAAAACAAAAAATGGGGGGCCCTACCAAGACACTTCTTTTTGCATATACACAACCCTGCTCAAACAGATGAGAAGTCCCACGACTGCCCACAACGAATGAATGGTTGGAGCACATAACTGTGGACGCACAAACACCTTGCCGCTGCGTATCTGATGCCCCTTGCAGAAATGCCAACGTAAAGCTAAGCGCCAGCTGTACCAACATCCCGCAAAAAGAGAGCCCTGCCCCCTCCACGAATTCAGGGACTACAAGCTGGAGCACCCTCTCGAAAAGCAACCTGAGTCAACGTTGATCTTCGCAAGGGGGAACTCATTCTGACCTCTATTTTGCTGTTTCTCAGCGAATCACCAAAGGTTTTTCGGTTTTGGGAATGAACCGGAAGCAGAACTCCCCTTTGACTCGGACCAGTGACATGCTCGCGCCTCGGGTTCGTCCCCGGGCTGCGGGGAGGGCGGGGGCTTGTAGTGCTTCGACACGTCGATCTTGCCGTGGAGCTTCTCGAAGGTGTCCTGAGTCGGGAAATGGACACCTCTTTGGTTCTCCCCTTGGGTTTTGGTTTGGGTTTTCTTGGGCTTCTGTGCTTTTTGTGTCGGACACAGCTAAACCCTTTGAATCGGCTCGCAGTTTTGGGTGGACAGCCCCTTTATGAAGGCCTTGAGGTGGGGGGGCGATTGTCCAACAATCCTGACGGAGTTCACAAGGAGCTAACCGCTTCATCTGAGGGTCCTACATAGGTTTGGGAGTGAGGTAAATTCAGCCGGCTACAAGAATTGAGACAGGGAAATGCACCTTCCAACCCTTCCATTTCAGGGGCACAACAAATGGGTTGATCCCACGCTGCCTGCCATACAAAAGGGGCTCCAAATCCGCCATGGGAGGGGAAAAAGGGGCACGAGTTGACTCAGCCCAAAACCACACTTGTTCGAGGAAACTTGGTTGCATGGGTGGCTTTTCTATGAGAAGGGCTTTTGCTGGAGTTCGCCAGCCGCCCAGTAAGGGGCTGCATGGTGTGTTTGTTTGGAAAAACCTCCTGGACCACACTCGCTGGCGATGCTTTGCAGTTGTTTTGCTTTCTTCATCCAAATCAGGCTTGTTCTTCCGGACACTAAAGATGGCTTCCCACGGGTGAATGAGAAGGAACCAACACAAAACCAGTGGCATTCATCATTGGCTTCACCGAGTTCCTGACCATCCATCAGCCAGCGTGTTTCTTCTTTGTTTCAACAAAAAAAAAAAACAAGGTTCCTCATGGTGGGTACCCGGTCGCCAGTTGTGATGCAGATTGCTGGGAAGATATTAAGGGATGCTCATATGAAAGGATGCCAGGAGATTGTTAGCAAGAAAACAAATCCAGCCGCCGATGTGCCTTGATTCAGAGGGAAGCCTATTTTCGGCTAAAGGAAAATCAAAAGGACAACATGTTTTCCTGCATGACCCAAGACGGCCTCTTTTCCAGATCTCTTGTCTTTCCCAACCAGCAGCCATGATTCACCTCCATTCGGGTGTGGTTCTTTTTTCCAGCGTGTCGCTTTTTTCTGAGTGGGTAACTCCCCCCTTGCTTGGTTTCAAGGAGAAATGTCTAGCCCGTCTTTTTTGGAGCGGGCTTTCCCTCACTTGCTGGGTATCAAGGGGAAAAGGCCCAGGACACCCGGCCCCCCAAAAACCGGCCGGCCGAAACAAAAGGCGGCCTTGGTGAGCTTCTGGGCCCTCTCGGTGAGCGCCTCCTCCACCCGCTTCGGGTTCTTCCGCATCTCCTGGAGTCGGACTGGACCGAAACGAATCAAAAGAACGCTACAACGCTGCTGCTGTTTTTGAACAAAATGAACACTACAGCTGTTGCTATTGCGATTTGCTGTTCTTGTCCAATTGATGCTGCAAGTTGCTGCTGTTGCCACTGAGTTGCTATGGCTGTCGCTGTTACTGCTATGGTTTTTGTCCAGTCTACTATGCTGGAACTTCCATCAAGCACTCCCTCTAACAGGAGGAAGTGGAGGCCTGTGGGCAACACCTCTTGCACCTGCGAGAGTCCATAATCTTTGGTAGAGATGGCAAGAACGGCGTGATGACCAATTGGTATCTGGGAATCCATGTGACGGGGATTCAGCAATTAAATTGGATTAGGTTCGCTCGCCGCTGTCTGGGTTCACGGCATGGATCTGTCAGTCTGAAAATGGGGGGGAAGGGCAACCACAAAAGACCGAGGATAAAAAACGGAGCTCGCCTTTGCGGACCTCCGCCTGCTGCGCTTCTTCCTTCAAGGAACCAATCGGTCAGGTCCTTCTGGTACTTGGTCTTGATCTGGCCCGCGCTCTTGTTCCGAAAGAAGGTCTGCACGAGGAACAAGTCGGTGCCGTACAAGGAGAGCGCCTCGCCCGAAATTGCTTGCCTCGTTGCCTCTTTGCGATACGGGGTCTTGAAAAGCAAACCCCAGGGGAAGTGTTGTCACTGAAGGCAATGGCTGTTTCACACGATTCCATGAACGTGTCTTGGAATCCCTGGGACTTGTCTTGGAACCCAGTAGATTCTTTTTGCAAGCAATACGGTTCGCTATAGTTCCCCAAACATCATCCAACAAGGAAATGAAACCAACAACAACAATAAACCCTGTAGCACCATTCGCGAGTGGACCCCCAAAATAAGGCACCTAAAGAGAGCCCACGTGGCCGCAAAAACGCCCTTAGTCGCTGCTAGCCCGCTATTGGAACTGCTACCCTTTTCGGGGGCCTCCAAAAAAGGATTTCGGTGTTCCTTGTGTCTCAGTACCAGGCAAACCCCTGTATCACGAGGAATCACCAAATGTCCTCTCAGTTTACTGGTAGGGTCCAACAGAAGTGCCACTTTTCCAGGCCCAAGAAGGGAAACTGAGAGGGAGCTCCCTCTCTATCGTATCACCGGCCTCATAGAAGAGGTCGGTCTCCTGCTCCATCCACTTGCACGCGGGCGTCTTCTTGTAGGCGCTGGCGTACTGGCTCACGGCCTCCTGGCGCGGATTTGGCTGTGGTTGTCAAAACTGGTGCCATTTTGGCTGGATTGGGTGAATTCACCACCCATTTTAGAACCTATTTTAGTGGGGGTTGGGATGTTCACTGGGGGTACGATTTGGATTTTGACCCCATGGCCATTTGACAGCTTCAGCACCATCACTACCATCGCAAACATCACCGACCTCAGCATCAGCGTCACCAGCATCACTTCCATTGACATCAGCAACATCAGCACGAGCAACATGCAAGCACACAAGTGGCGAGCTCATTGGCATCATGATGCGC